TGCCCCCGCCGCAGCCACTGCGTCAGGACCAGAGCTCGCCGTCCCAGCAGCGGGCGCGGGTGCTCCCGTGTGACAGAAGGCGCTGAGGCCGCCACGCAGGGGGTGTCTGCCGGTTGGGGGAGCGACAGGGCTGACTGTGGGTTAGCTCAGGGAGCACAAGTGACCCTGCCAGGCTGTCCCTCCTGGCCTCTCTGTAATGAGACCAGCCAAGGACCCCGAGGTCAGGGTGTCCAATGGCCAGGCCAGGCCCCTGCTAAGGGGGTGGAGCTTGCTGTCTCCGTTTTCTGTATCCCAGGCAGTGCTCAGAGCACCCACTGGAGGCCCCTCTCAGCTGACCGCAGAGGGCCCCTCAGCCACCCCACAGAGGTCCATCCCTCAAACGCAGAGCAGGAGCCACTGCCTTAGCACACACCCCGTCCCAGCCTTCCCTGACGAGAGCTCTGTGCAGGCCGGGCCAGGCCCACAGGCAGTGGTCATCCGCCAGGCCTAGGGAGAGCCAGGCCTGCACGGAAAGCAGGGTGGGGACACCGTGAAGTCCCAGGACGCAGTGCGGCCTGCCATACCTCCTGGCTCTGTGTCCTACCTGGAGAAACAACGGCGGCACTGCACCCTGGGGGCCACCCCCAGCCGACAGACAGACGGGCAGCAGGCAGCCAGCCGGGAAGACCACACTCAGGGGGCCACACACAGGAGATCAGGTGTGTCCCTGCTGACCGCTGAGGCCCTGACGAGGGGCAGCAGCGCAAGTGTGGCCTGCAGCTCACCACAGCTGGCACAAGCCGGGACCACCCCTGGGACCTGGGCAGCACCCCGGCAGGGCCTGCCCCACAGAAAGGGAGAGTGGTTCTGTCACAGAGCCCTTCCTGTCTCTGCCTGTGTCCTTTCTAGCTCTGACCACCCACATCACCCTCCTGGGGGCCCGCAAGGGTACCCTGCTGGCTTCTGGGGTCCAGAGCTTGGCAACAGCTGCAGCCTTTGAGGCCCCCAGGACAGGGCCACAGGTGCCTTCACCTGGCCAGAGGAGGCCGTGGCATCTCCAGGCGCAGACCCGAGGGCCCAGGGAGGGCCTGCTCCCTCCTCAGGACGTGCCCAGGACAGGCACCTGGTCCCACCCCACTGGGAACTCAGGGCCCACCCCTGCTCCAGACCTCACAGCCCTCCTTGGAGAACTATATTTAGATTCAATGGGGATTACGTGGACTTCCCAGGAATGCTTTCCAGAAGGCTGAAGGTCAGGCGGGATGGGCTTCCTCTGGAGACCCCCACCCCAGCCCTGCAAACTTCCAGAGTGCATTGTTCCCGGGAACAATGGTGCCTGCTCCTTCCAAGGCTGGGGCAAGCCCAGTGCCTGGGAAATCCAGCGGAACCTTCTCCCAGGCAAGCACCTTGCTGGCTGCGGCTGGGCCTGGGGATTCAGGGTCCCAGGACAGAGGGACGCACAGTTCCCACCCGTGACATGGGGAAAGGGACAGCCCACTCCCTCCCTCCATGCTTCCCGCAGAAAGTGTGCAGTTCCTGACACCTGGCTGGGAATCAGGTGCCCCAAGGGCCACATCACACCAAGTCGCCTCTCCTGCTGGCAGGGCAGGAGCTGGGCCGCCCTGGGTGGGGTCCCTGCCAGGCGGTCGCCCCTCCCCCACAGGACCTCGGTTCCAGCTGTGGGGCGACTGCGCTGGGGGAGAAGCGCCTGCCCAGCCCCTCTCATCCCGCAGCGGCTCTCGGGGTGAGCTGCCCCACGAGCACACCGTGTTACTGATGGGGAAACTGAGCCCAGGAGGAAAGCGCGCTTCCCTTCAGGCCCTAAGATCCAAGTTCCAAGGGCCCAGTCCTGACACAGGCCTGAGGAAGAGTCACTTACCCGGAGAGGCGTCCCAGACCCGCTGACCAGTTTCCAGGCCTGTCGCTTGAGCTCCACGAGCTTCGTGTGGCAGGGGCGGGGGCCGCCGCCCCCCCCCCCCCACCGGT